TTCAGCCAAGGTAAGTGCAAGGCTGGAGAGTGGTTGGCTGGAATAAACCAACATCTGTTACTCTTCAGCCAAGGTAAGTGCAAGGCTGGAGAGTGGTTGGCTGGAATAAACCAACATCTGTTACTCTTCAGCCAAGGTAAGTGCAAGGCTGGAGAGTGGTTGGCTGGAATAAACCAACATCTGTTACTCTTCAGCCAAGGTAAGTGCAAGGCTGGAGAGTGGTTGGCTGGAATAAACCAACATCTGTTACTCTTCAGCCAAGGTAAGTGCAAGGCTGGAGAGTGGTTGGCTGGAATAAACCAACATCTGTTACTCTTCAGCCAAGGTAAGTGCAAGGCTGTGGAGTGGTTGGCTGGAATAAACCAACACTTGTTGCTCTTCAGCCGAAGTAAGTGTATGGCTGAAGAGTGGTTGGCTGGAATAAACCGACACTTGTTACTCTTCAGCCATAGTAAGGGTATGGCTGAAATTGGATTGACTGGATCAAAAACTTTGTACTCCTCAGCCGAAGTGATTATATCGGCTAAGGAGTGGTTGGCTGGTAAGCATAATTTAACAAGCCAAAACCGAAATAGAAGTTGGAGTAATAAAAGGCATTACACATGCAAGCATATGAATCAGAAACCGGAATAAGAGTCAACAAAATTCCCATTTCGTTAAAGTTCAAAATAAGCACAAAGAAGGGGCCGCAGCCCAGTTACAAAGAAAAGGTAACAAAAAAGGAGAAAATCAGGAAAAAAGTTCTTCAATATCAACATCAAAAGCTGCATCACCATCAACTTGAAGACCGGTTTCTTGAGGGAGCTCATTCACAATGGGGAGAGTCACTTCGGCTGGAATCGCGGTTTCACTGGGAAGATCAACTGTTAGGTCTTCCACAGTGGGCACCGACCGAACTGGCTGGTCCACATTATCGACCGGAGTATCTTCAGAAGAGGAGTCATCGGATTCTGACTCTTCCAGAAACTCTTGTTGCAGAGTATTGGCGTAGTCCGCAAGAGAGCTCGGTATAAAATAGGCTGGAGGGTTGAAAACCTCGGTCTGTGGATCGAGACCGAGCTTCTCAACGGCCGCCCTCCAGCCGCACTTGAAGAACAACTCCTTGGCAGCATCGCACTGTTTCACATAAGCTTCCTTTGCCTTCTTGTAACCCCGCTTGTAACCCTGCTTTTCGGCCCCCTCCACGCTCTTTTTTAGTTGGCTTATTTCGGTATCTTTTCTCTTTTCAAGTTTTACCAGCTCACGGAGATATTTGTCCTTCATAGCAATGGCCGCTTTCTGCCTTTCTGCCTCGGCCGAACTAACCAGATCGGCAAGACGGCCATTCTCCGCTTGTAGCTCGGCCATTTTCTTTTCGGCTTCTTCTAGCTCGGCCGCTTTTGCTTCGGCTTCAGCCATTGCCTGCCTTGTGGCTTTTCGGAGTTCTTGGACTTTCTTGTAAGTAATGTTGTTCTTCTGTAAGGCCTGACAAAACAAAGACTTCTCTTAAGCCGAAGTAAAAGTTGGAAAATTCAAACAAGAAAAAATGGACAGAGCTACTTACCAAAATCATGGACTTCGATGTAGACCGGATGGACTTCATCTCGGTGTTCAATTGCTTGAGGTGGTGCTCCATATCCTTGGGAAGGCACACACTTTTTGCCAGATTAAAGGCCAATAGGTGATCTTTTTCGGCAACAACCGAATCAGAAGCTCTGATGTCTCGGTCGTTGAAGCTTAGCTGCGGAGCCCATTTCGAAGATTCTGCTCGGTCAGTTTGCTCCGGTTGGAAGGTAGGTTGAGGACTTTGGGGGATGGATTCAACCTCATCAACAAGTTGCTGTTCGGTCGATGTAGATCGGGCGCGTTTGGAAGGGCGAGATGAAGAAGGTTGCTGAGAAGGGAGGGTCACAACGGCAGGTTGCGCCTCGATGGATGGCTGTACTTCGGCTCTGGTTGTTGCAGTCAGAAGGGCCCTAACTCTACTCTTCTTTGCCATCTCTTCTTCAGCAGTTAATGGGACAAGTCGTATTTCGGGTAAGGTTGGGTCCGGTTCTGGTGCTTCCTCAAGAAGGAAATCGGTCACTCGGGCTTTTCGACGACCGCTATATCTGTAGGTCGGTTCAAAGTTTAGAAGCTTGGCCCAACTCCTTTCTTTACACCGTAGTGCGGCTCGCAAAATCGCAAGGTTGGGATAGCTATATAGGGAACGGAGGTGGGCGAAATCTGCAAAAGGAGAACTGTTAGTTCGGTTAATAGACTAAAAGAACCGAAATAAAATACAGGGAAGAAGACCGAAGTCAAATTACCGGGCTCTCCCTTTTTCCAATTTATAGGTCGGCCAGGAATTTGGGCTTGAAAATCCTCAAAGTTCCCAGAGACCCAGAAAAAATCGTCGTCATTAAGGTCTTTTGTAACAACCCCCATACTGTTTACTGATTAATGACCGATTGAGTACCGATAATCACCGATTACTGTTAAACGGAACTGATAATGACTGATAACTGACTGATAATTGAACTGATTAAAAGTACTGAACTGACTGACTGAAAACTGGAACTGATCGTGGCCCTCCCATGTTAGTTAATTGCATTCTATCTGTTTGACAGATGATTATCTGTTCAATGCTTATATGTTTAAACTGCTACGTACCGACTGACCTGTGATAGGTCAACCAGGGCGCTCAACAGATATAGATCAACCGTGTTCCCTCTATCGGCAAACAGAGTAGTCCCGAAGAGGAACATAAGAAAACCGCGGGCATACTACTCTGTCTCCTCAGGAGTCCCGGGCTCCATCTCCGCCCTCCGAAAATGGGAAGAGAACCAAGTGTATCGGACTCTCCCGGAAGCCCTGTCAACAGGCGGGCGGGCCCCCAGCAAA